GCTTGGGGTTGAGGGGTGTAGGGCTTGGGGTTGGGGTTTTTTTTTGCAGCACAATGACTCTGAGCTCCAGCCCTGTGCACTTCCACAGAGCTTAGGGTTTAGAAATCGGGGTTTGGGGTTCCGCATGCTTTCCCGGCATGTTTCTCATCGCGTTACAGCTTAACAAGGAAAAAGGCATGCTGCTCTGTCCAATCAAAGATAGCCTCCACGTTCGGGGCTGTAGGGTTTTCAGCACTCACAACGGGGACAAGCCTGGCGAGGTTACTGGTGCGGCGACACAGAATGCAACTTTGAGGGATGGTAGCTGTCGGGTTCCCTCTCTCTCACAGGTACAGACCTGCTTCCCTAAACCCTAACTCTTAATTCCTGAACCCTAGACCCTAAACTCTAAACCCTACACCCTAAACCCTGAACCCTAAAGTCTAAACTCTAAACCCTAAATGGCCCCCTAAATCCTGTTTAGGATATCGGGCTTCGGGCTTGACAATCCCTGCTCCACATCGACTGACCTTAGTTTCAAAGGCCCCGCAGTCCGGGCTTCCAGGGCGAAGAAGGGTTCAGGGTTTAGGGTTTAGGGGTTTAGGGTTTAGGGTTCTAGCATAAACCAAGGCAGCCGGATCCTCATCAAGAAGACCCCTAAGAGAATATGGAGGAGTGAATAATGAATAGTTGGTAAGTGTTCTTCCTTACGGCCCTTGCTTATTGTTCTAGTATAATATACGCTCCTACAGGTCACTTTAAATCCCTTCTCGGAACTTGTAAAGATCCCCTTCGAGGAAACCCTTTCCGGAACCCTAGTCAAATTATGAAGAGTTTAGGTTTGTACTGTTTGCAACTCGGACTCCGCCAGACAAGGTCTCTGTGTCCAACTACGCCAAAAGCTACTGTGAGCTGGCAATCACTGAGGGTTAAGGTCCCCTCTCTCTCTCTCGCGTGCTCAGGGGATCCCGTCAGACGCAACGCTCGGTCTCTGAACGGAGCCAAAGGTCCCCTAAACCCTAAACCCTTTTTATTGAACCCAGACTCTGCCAATCAGCTGGGAACCCTAAACCCTAAACCCTATCTAGGGGCTTCGGAAAATAGGGGGCCCTAATATAGTACCCTAAATAGTAGGTTCCTTAAAAAAAGGACCCCAAACTAAGGGACCCCTAATTGTCGGAAACTCCTATCTAGGGCCTATAGGGCCTACGTTTTCAGAGGCTAAGCAGAAGACCTCCAGGAATCGCCATGGCTCGGACTTCTCGGTTCAATCTTTCGACCTGGGGTGGCTTCTGAAAAGCACAGTCGGGGTTTTCCCCTTTTTGTTCAGGGTTTAGATTTAGGGTGTAGGGTTTAAGGTTTAGGGTTTAGGGTTTAGGTTTGAGTTTCGAGGTTTTGGGGTTTTAGGGTGTTTGGGGGCACCTTCTTCAAGGACTACTTGTTTGATTCCTACTCTGGAACCTATAGATTACAAACTCTCCTACCCTCGTTGGGAGTGACCTGATCATATCGGAGATGCTATAAGTTCGAGGATTGCCTTTTGTCGCCCTCCTTCTTGGGAATGGGGGGAATGGATCCCTATGATAATCCCTTCAGGCCCCTTGCAGTCCCTTAAGGTCCCGTAAGGTCCCTCAGAATCCCCTGAGGTCCCTGGTCCTTATCGCCCATTCCCCCGTTCCCTACTGAGACCTAGGAAGGTTTCCGAGACTCCCCATACAAACCCTTGTACCCTAAACCCTAAACCCCATACTAACCCTTTTGCAACTGGCTTGCAACGTCACGCCTGGGCAGCTGACCCACACTAACCCTAAACCCGAAACCGTTAATTAACCCCAAACCCCATACTAACCCTAAACCCTAAACCCTGAACCGTATACCCCAAACCCCATACTAATCCAAAGCCCTAAAAACCTGCTTTCGACACGCCCACCTTCTCTCCTTGACCTCCTCGCGAGTAGGACAAACCTCCGAAGATCTGGGCAGCCTCCCGTGCGCAGTATTCCATGACCTGTTTTGGCGTGGAGGCTTCAAGGGCCATGGGGTTCAGCACCCCTAAACCCCAAACCCTAGCCTTGGGGGGTTTTGGCGCGCGTCATCCCTTGCGGTTCTGAGTTTTGTGGTTTTGGGGGTCTGAGCACTCACAACTGGCACTGGGGTTTAGGTCGTAGGGTGCTCTGGGTCACCAGCCTTGGTGCACTGCACCTTGCACAGAGCCGTGTGCCCTCCAAGCTTCAGCATGGCCTCAAGCTTGGGCATAGTGTTCAGCTGGAAGGTGATCCACTCCAGCCAATTGTGGGTCGCTTCGATTTGGCGGGCCATCTCCGCCACCTTCCACCGAATTACGGGGTGCTGGATGAGAGTCTTCCCGAAGGTCTTGCGCTTACCGGCGAACTTCAGAGAGTCTTCCAAGCAAACTCTGGCGAAGCGCGTGCTCATAGCGCAGAAGGCGAAGCGCTCGTGGTTGAAGTTCCTCTCTTCTTCAAGAGCGGGGCCCAACGAAGTCTAAACTTTCGAAGATGGACCAAAGATATTAAGGCCAAAAAGTTAAAAGTTCTCCCACTCGCTACCTAAGGTTCTGCATCATGTACTGGAAGCCCTTGCCCTCCTTGCCGAGCAGGTTTCCCTTCGGCACCTGCGAACTGCCGAGTCGAAACGACATCGTGCCCTTGAACCAGGCCCGTTCATGCCGTCGGAACTACGGATTTTTTAAAACACCTTTTTCCACCTCGACGGTTTAGGGTTTTGGGTTCAGGGTTTAATTAGGCAAGCATAAAGGGGCTCAGGGCTCATCCTCCCAGCTAGTAACCGGGAAACTACCCTGAAAGCTTCAACAGGGTAAAAACTATGCGAGCACGCACTGGCAAGAAAGCCTTGACATCGTCGAAGGTGATGTAGGTTGTGCCGGAAGACCATGCGCCCGAGCACTTCATCTTCCGCGTCTCCACACCAGGCATGTCCTTCTCCACAAGCAGCAAGCTGATGCCACCTACACCAGGCTTTCCTGTGCGGCACGCCACAGTGAAGTAATCGGCGAAGATGCCGTTGGTGATCCACTTCTTCCTGACTTCGTAAACGGTCATCGGCAGGGCCGGGGCTAGAAGTGAGATCGCAAACACAGCTACCGAAATTAAAAAACAGCTTCTGCTGCTTGCTCAGCAATGCTTCTCGCCGTTCAGAATGTAGTGGTCGCCCTCCAACTTGGCACTGCACCTTAGGGTATGAGTATCCTGGCCCAAAGAAGGTTCACCTGTTCAATTATGGTAGGATTATATAAACCCCAAAAGGTTAAAGGTTAACTACTCAGCTACTCTCTTCTTCAACAACCAGGCCCGAAAAAGTTCAAACTTTTTAGGGTAGACCCAATATATAAGGCCAAAAAATATATAAGGCCAAACAGTTTAAAGTTCTCCCATTGGCTAACCCCTAAACCCTAAACCCCAAACCCTTATTTAGGCTACTAAGGCACTTTAAGTTGGCCACATCACTGCCGGCCGTGGGCTCGGTGATGGCAAGGCAGCAGACCTCTAGGGTTTAGGGTTTAGGCTCTCACAACTCGGACAGGGTTT